CTCAGGACTATGTGGTGAGGGACATGGAGGCAGTGCCCTGAACCTGCACCCCACTCAGCCCCCCAAGTGTGTCCGCCCCCCTTCAAACAACGTCCCCCAGACTTGGCCCTGCTCTGTCCTCCATCCTCTGCCCAGCCAGGGCCAGGCCCAGGCCCAGAGGCCACCTGGAGCAGCCATCTGCCCTGTCTCTGCTCTGGCGACGCTCAGGGGTAACCCCACACTCGCCAAGTGCTGGCAGCTCCCCTTGCCTGGCTTCAGTTTAGCCACTCGCCACGCGAGATGCCTGACCACTGCCTCCAGACAGACAGACAGACAGATAAGGGTGTGTACAGGGAGAGAGAGAGAGAGATTAGATAGATGGGGTATGGGGACAGACAGCTGAGACAGCTGATGGGCGTGGGGGTTGCAGAGAGCAGTGGTGTATGGGGACAGTGGCAGCTCCCCTTGCCTGGCTTCAGTTTAGCCACTCGCCACGCGAGATGCCTGACCACTGCCTCCAGACAGACAGACAGACAGATAAGGGTGTGTACAGGGAGAGAGAGAGAGAGATTAGATAGATGGGGTATGGGGACAGACAGCTGAGACAGCTGATGGGCGTGGGGGTTGCAGAGAGCAGTGGTGTATGGGGACAGACAGACAGATTAGATAGATAGCCCATGGGGTATGGGGACAGACAGACAGACAGATGAGACAGCTGATGGGCGTGGGGGTTGCAGAGAGCAGTGGTGTATGGGGACAGACAGACAGACAGATGAGACAGCTGATGGGCGTGGGGGTTGCAGAGAGCAGTGGTGTATGGGGACAGACAGACAGACAGATGAGACAGCTGATGGGCGTGGGGGTTGCAGAGAGCAGTGGTGTATGGGGACAGACAGACAGACAGATGAGACAGCTGATGGGCGTGGGGGTTGCAGAGAGCAGTGGTGTATGGGGACAGACAGACAGACAGATGAGACAGCTGATGGGCGTGGGGGTTGCAGAGAGCAGTGGTGTATGGGGACAGACAGACAGACAGATGAGACAGCTGATGATTGGCTCGGGGGCGGGGGAGCAGCAGGGCCGGATCCACCCACCTAGCGGGGCCGCATCCGGCCCATGGAGGCCCTTTTGCTCACCCCTGGATTAGATAGACAGCTGATGGTGTATGGGGACAGACAGGCAGACAGATGGGTGTGGGGGGTGCAGGAAAGAGTATCTGACAGGGAGTTTGGATGAAAGAGGAGTAGGAGATTGGGGTGAGAAGGGAGTGCAGACTCCAGGAGGGAGTATGGTTGCAGAAGAGGATTTGAAACTGGAAGAGGGTTATAGGTGGGAATGCTGAGTCTGGGAGAGGGCTATAACTTGGGGCAGGAGTCCAGAGGTTTGGATTGTGATCTAGGGCAGGAGGGAGTTGTTACCTGGGGTAAAGGATTTAAAGTGCAGGGTTTAAGAGGTGGCACAGATGCAGGAGAGGATTCTGACTTGGAAGAGGGGTGCAGGAGGGAGTGTAAGATATGGGAAAGAGCATGGGTGCCAGAGTGGGGGGAAAAAGATTAGAAGAGGGAGAGTGCAGGCTCTGGCTGGCAGGTGCTTATGTAGGCAGCTCCTCATGAGCAGCCCAGTGGAACCCTCAGGCAGGCTCCCTGCCTTCTGCATGCCATGCACCCTAAGAGGGGAGAGAAGGTATTCTACACACGGTTTGCACCACAAGCATGGCCCAGGCAGCTCCCATTGGCCAGAAACTGGCCAACGAGAGTTGTGAAATTATGCTGGAGGCAGGGGCAGTGTGCAAAGCCCTTCCTCCCTCTGGGCATGCAGATGACACCTGGCAACTTTCAACAGCATGCAGAGTGCAGAAGGCAGGGAGCCAATCCAACGCTAGTGCTGGGCTACAGGAGAGATGCAGAAGTCTGGCAGGTTGTATTTTGTCCCCCTCTGATTTAGAACAATCAGCGTATATGTATTTTATGAAGTGAAATTAGTCAGTACCTCTTCAGAATTATCTGTTACATTCTGTAATACCAGTCTTGCCCATATACACAATCTCTCTGCAACTTCCTCAGATTCAGCAAACGGCAGAGATTTTAGTAAGCTTAGAGATTCCTCTCCCTAAAAACAAAAGTTATGAGGCATAAGTAAAAAATATTGACCAAGGTATTTGCTGTTGAAAGAACTCTTAATTTTATCATCAGTTGTGCACATTATTTCATCTATTTAGTACTGTCTGGCATTATACAGGCAGTCCCCGGGTTACATACAAGATAGGGACTGTAGGTTTGTTCTTAAGTTGAATTTGTATGTAAGTCAGAACTGGTACATAATTGTAGGGGAAACTCTAGTCAAACATTTCTCCAGAGCTCAGTTTTATTCTCCCACACCTCACTTCCCTCAGTCCTTTATTCCCAAGCTGAGGTGTCTGCTGAGAAAAGCCGCTCCACGCCTCCCTGGTCTGCTGGG